TGGCACTGATTATTAGATAATCCAGCATCTCCTGTAGTCCCACCTTTACTGGTCTTCATGTTTCTAAATTAAGGCAATGGAGAAATCACAAAATTCTGTTCCCTTTTGGATTAAAATGATGGGCAACACCTTGCTATATGCAATAGTGGGGATTTTTATTCAGGAAAGGAGCCATGTACTTTGTTCTCCTACACAAATACAAATAGACAATAGAATAGAGGGCCTCAATATATTGTCAAACGAACAGTTCATTTAATTTAATTTATTTCTGTATAATATATACAAGATGAAAACCAAAAAAAAAAACTGAAAATATGAAAAATTGGATGAAAATTAGTCTCTGCCTTTGAAATAGCATGCCAATATAATTCCTTTATGGACTAATAATTCCATTAGATTGTCAACATCATTATTCAATGTGGCGATTTAAGAATCATGTTGCATATGGTAGGCTTTATAGGGTTACATGTACTATTATTATAGTCAGAATTGTCCAGAAATCACCTATGTTCATATTTACTTCAATGAGTCCAGTTGTTCAAGACTAAATCTTCAACCAATCAAAATAAGTGATAGGAATATTGACCTTCTGTATCAAAGGTTTAGTAACCAACTGACTCGTATACATTTGTTAGATCAAGATAAAACACTGGACAATCAAGTCTGATATACACAAATTAATTTAAAGAAGTGTGCACCAATTTCCAGGGAATATTTTCAAATAAAGAATCAAAGAGTTGGAAATGAGGGAATTTTTTTTAAACAGTTTTAAATATATGAGAATTATTCCCTCTACTGACAATATTGTCAACACAATATCAATAAAATCTCAGTGGGAGAAAGGGAGAAAGTCATAATTCCTCTTTACAAGAAGCTTGCGTACATTCCACCTTTAACAAAACCCAAATATCATTGAACACTGGGAGAAAGGGAAGTCATAATTTTCAATTTAATCAAGCTGGTACACACTTCCTCTTCAAAAATATGAAATGACATAATGATAATGATAATGAAATATTAAACCAATAAATATTACCAGGTACCATCATCCTTTCCAGCGGATTATTAAATCCTTTCCCAGAATAGTTTCATACAGACCAACAGACAGACATTCAATCTTCAATTTTTGGAATTTAGGGACACAATTAAAAGCCATGGTTCACCATTTTCCAGGGTTCATTTAAGTCTTGAATACTTGAATATAAGTAAATAGTCTTCAGAAGT